GTTACTATTTTTCCTTTCCATATACTATGTCTGAATTCAGCCCACACTTAAAGGGGGACAGGAATAAACTCCAGCTCCTAAAAGGGGAAATAGCCACACTAATGATTAGAAATTCTTCTGTAAGGAAAACTGGACTCTTCTCCCACATTTACTTATATCATAATGAACTCATGGATATTTATTTTATACTTTGGGTTATAACCCAATACTACGCTATCCACTTTGTTCCTCAAATTGTAGCTTTCGCTAGTGGGAGCTCTTTCAGGCTTGCTCCTGTGTTCCTTTGATGTGTCAACTGATTTTTGCTTTATGAGCACTTCTTTTGCATATTTATTTTTAATATAAAAAAACAACACTTTTAGGAAACAAAAGAAAACTAAACTACTCTTATAGTCCCATCATCCCAACACAACTGGTGTTTTAGTGATGTTTGTCATTTACATTTTTGAGACATAGCTTATAAAGAACATGTTCTATTACTTCACCTGATTTCATAAACATAACTGCCATTTTTTACAATTATGTTGTGTTTACCAGATGCATATGCCAGGACACCTTAAGAAAAGCTCTCTGGAGTCAGACTATGTGCCCCCCGCGCCCCCGCACCACTGAATATTTGCTCCTCAATCCTCTCGTTCAGAAAAGGGAGGAAACGATGGTATGTTTTTCACAGAATTTAACACAGCAGCATAGAGTAGATTAACAGCAAGGACTCTGGAAATAGATGGCCTGAGTATAAATCCTGACCCTGGAAGGATTTAGTTAGGAAACCCTGGGCAAGTTACTTAACATCTCTGTGCCACAGTTTCATCTGTAAAATGGGTAAACAAAAGGCCTTGCTTCTCACTATTGTTGGAGGACCAAATGCATTCAGTGGTGCTCAGCGCTTATTCCATAGCAAATGCTCAGTGTCAGCTATTATTGTTGACTCTGGGTAGACCTCCATGGCAGGGCTTACAACCTAAATTTAATTATACAATCTACTCCCCCACCCCCCCCATCTCGGTGCCTCACATACAGGAGAGGTGCAACATTTTTTTTCTAATTAATTAATTAATTTTTTTTTTTTGGCTGTGTTGGGTTTTCGTTGCTGTGTGCAGGCTTTCTCTAGTTGCAGCGAGCGGGGGCTACTCTTGGCTGCGGTGCGCGGGCTTCTCTTGCAGTGGCTTCTCTTGTTGTGGAGCACGGGCTCTAGGCGTGTGGGTTTCAGTAGTTGTGGCTCCTGGGCTCTAGAGCGCAGGCTCAGTAGTTGTGGTGCAGGGGCTTAGTTGCTCCAAGGCATGTGGGATCTTCCCAGAACAGGGCTCAAACCCGTATCCCCTGCATTGGCAGGCGGATTCTTAACCACTGTGCCACCAGGGAAGCCTCGAGGTGCAACATTTATTAACACCCATGTGTGCACACATTCACAGTGTCTGTTTATCAGCAAAATGCAGCTAATAACACTTCTTACTACTAAGGTGGCAAATAAATGACTATACGCATATAAACAAGATCGGAATTACATCTTTGAATTTATCCATATATCATCTAGTATTTAGTTTCTCTTTCCTCACCTTTATCGAAGTGTAACTGACAAGTTAAAATTATATACATTTAAGGGGTACAACATGATGGTTTGATGTGTATTTAACCTTCCATAGTGTGAGAACTTACGGGAACTTATAAAGAATGAAACCATGACATTTAGTCATTAACAGAAACATTATACTATGCCTTCGAATCTAAACCAAAAACGTATATCCCAGAATTGGTTCTTTGGGGGTATTTTTTATTAAAGATAAAGACTTTCAGTCTGATCTTTCAGCAATTTTCATTTTTTCTTCATGCTTTCATTCTTTTTTTTTTTTTAGAGACCAAATCACTAACCCATGTCCACCCTCCCTGCTGCCTGTGGGTCTTACAGGTTCTCATACTCCCCACTTCTTAGTGTCCAGTTTGCAGTAGTGATTAAGATGTAGTCCACACTAACGCATACTAATAGTTCATTTATTAAATGTTGTTAACAATCTGCCCTGCTTCCCTTGTGAGGCTGGGTCCAGACACCTTAGGATTGCTTCTCTTTCTTAGCAATGGGAAGAACATTGGCCTTGCAGTAAGGCAGATGACAGAATTCTGAAACTAGCTGTTTTCTTATATTGCAGGATTTTTAAGAGGATTAAGTGAGGAAGTACATGGAACATTTAGTCCAGTCTGCCGTGCAGAGGTATGCAATGTTCCTGTCTTTCTTTTCACCCTCCAGATTCAACGCCCTGATGCCTTTGAACCTGCTACTTGCACTAATTTACACAGTCTCATTTCATTCTATTGTACTTCAGGAGAAGGTCCTGCCGGCACTCTCACTTAGAAAACTACTCCCTACCCACCTGGGCACCAGGAGAAAAGTGTCCAAGGGACTAAGACCGTGCAATTCAGTGGTTTTCAGACTCATGCTTTTGGAACCCTTTGTTCAAGTGAAATCTCCCTTGGAAACTTGATACAAACAAACTGGGTAAAAAGGTCATTTTATTCACATTTATTTATTTTATAAGTTCACATCTATAATTTTGTAACCTATTAAAATGATATTCAGAACTAGATGCTTTGAGACACACATCAGAAATCTGGGGTTAGAGGTAGCAGCTGCAAACTGACCAACTGCAGCATTTAATTCTGCCTCTTGTTTTGATGGCATAGAATCAATAAAATTCCGATTCGCACAGAAAATAACCTCTTAACCCCTGCTCACGATCTTCATGATTAACGTAGGGCCGTACACAGCCCAAAACTATCTATGACACATTATCACATCTGACAGCTACACTTGCACCTATTATCATACAAGCTGACATCTGAACGAGATCGGATCAGCATATGCACCTGAGCCTTGGCTGTCCTCTCAGAGTATCACATGTGCGTAGTGATGAGACTTTTTGTACAACTGTGTGTGATAAAAAAAAATTCACAGGGTGAATTTAAATATATAAATACCAGTGCAGAACTACATCCTTCTAGTCAATGACACATTTAGGAGACATTAAATGGGCACAGAAATGACAAAGGATTATACTGAGAACTGCACAAAAATAAGTTACTTGGCAACACAAGATAGGGATTGGTTAATGTCTGTCACTGAGCATACAGACTGTTCTACCTTATGCTCTGCTCACTGCCAGAGAGCCCTTCCTGATTTCCCAAGATTTAGGTGAAATGCCCCTCTAATCCTGCCTGGAGGAGGGCCGCCTCCTCCTCAGCTGCCTCTTCATCCTTTATTAGTGTCAGTAACTGCAATAAGCCAGGGGCTGAGCCATCCTCTGACAGAGCAAACTTCCTGCGCGGTGTGCTGTGGACTGCTCCAGCAATGGCTTGCTCCAGGCGGGCCTGATTCACAACTTCTTGCTCAACTGCTCCTCTCTCTACCAGTTTCTGTAGTGAAGGCTCCAGCCTTAGTACATACACAGACAATTTTTTTTCATCCTTCTGGTAAGTGGTCAGATATTTGACCTGCAACACCCTAGGATTATCAGTAACCCCAAATACCTGCTCCAGAGCATGCAGGCATTCAGGGACTGTAATTAAAGGACTGTTTATCTTGAGGACGCGAATGATATCAGATGCCGGGCCTCTAAGGCTCTCTAGCAATCGCCTTTTTTCGGCATCTGACACCTGCCATGTCTTCATCATATGAGTGGCATGAAACAGCCAGGATTCAAACTCTTCTTCTTCTGGCTCTGGAGGATCACTGCCTGAGAATACTCTCAGCTTTTTGTATTCCAGGTGTTGCAGGGCAGGCTGAAGAGCCTCATCTAATGCCTGTGCCAACATAGGGGCCCGCACTTCTGGGATCATGTCCTGGTCTAGGTCAAAAAGGTCGTTTCCATACCCAAGAACTCTGGTAAACTCACCCAATGTCACGCCCTCTCCCTCTAGGAATTCATGTAACCTGCTTATAAATTCATTGTCTGGGTCAGGGGTCTTAAAGATCACTCCCCAGGCACGCCCGCTTCCGGGTATCTCTTTAGGGACCAGAGCATGACTCGTCTCCTCAGTTAAGTCCTATTAAGGTTGCATTCCTGTTCTCTTCCCTCTGGAACATCCTCCCGAGCAGTCGGTACTCGCTCAAGGGAGCAAAACCAGATCGCAGAGCCTCCTCAATTTCTGCCCTTTACAGGTCTGGGGGATGTCGGCAATCAACAGCGTTTTCCGCGGGTTTACATCCATCCCCCTACACCAGTCTTCTAAGAGGCTTAGCGTCATGATGCCCAAAATAACACATTTAAATTCCAATTTGTCCCGGCCACTGATGCTACTGCAACTCACAGTATTCCTCCACGGTAACCGAGTTAAGTCTCGTCAGCGTCTGCAGTTCCGACGGGCAGTGAAGATGAAGTAGTCACGTCAGTTCAAGTTGTAAATGAATAACCCGAGCCCGGAGAAGCCCCGCGCACCCGCGCCGGCGGCCGGCCGCACTGCGGCAAGCAGCCACTTTACCCTCTCCCGGCCTCGGGCGCCCCGCAGCAGACAGCGGGGTCCCACTTCACCTCGCAGTTATCTAGTAGTCATGTCTGGGTGCGTCGCCGGTGGCCGAGGTACCAGGGCCTGCTTCCAACGCTTCCCGGGCGGCCAGGTCCGAGGAGCGGGAGAGCGGCTTCTCCTGCACTCGCATGGACACTCGAGAGGGATATCCAAACTGCGCAGAGGCGCGCCGGGGAACGACGGGGGCGATCAGAGCCGCGAGCGAAGCACCAGGGAGAGGCTTTGAGGAGCGCTGAAACGGCCAGGCCCAGGCTGCCGCCCACCTGAAGGGTAGAGCTACAACCGGCGTCTCCGTAGCCTCCCCCGAGTTCCAGCAGAGCGGCTCCGGGAGCGCTCGGGGAGGCGGTGCCACGGCGGAGGCTCCCTAACGTCACGAGGGGGCGGGCCTTTCGGGGGGGCGGGGCAAGCGCGCTTCCGGCCCGAGCCGGAAGCCCCGACTGTGGCAGCATCCGGGACGGCGGGCGGGCGGGCCAACCGGGACAGGAGGTGAGATCCGGGACCTGCCCAGCTCTGCAGGCTCGGCCTGTGGCCGCTGCCGGGCACTGGGCTCCCGGCGCTGCAAGGCGGAGAGGCCCGAGTCTGGCGCCGCCCGCGCAGCCTTGTCGCGGCGGCGGGCGCTGCAGCACGACAGGGGGCGGGGCCGGCTGCAGGGGAGGCCAGGGTGGCTGGGGAGGCTCCCGGCTGGGCCGAGTGACACAGGCTGGGGCTCCGGCAGCGGCGACAGGGGCCGGGCCGCCGCGTGACCTGCTGCAGTCACGCTGTGCTTAATCACAATTAGCTTTTGCTCCAGGCTGGCCGTGCGCACCATTCTCCCAGCCGGTGACCCCGGGGATTTCTTTTATGGTGGCTTTCTCTGAAATGCCAAAGCCACCCGATTATTCAGAGCTGAGTGACTCTTTAACGCTTGCCGTGGGAACAGGAAGATTTTCGGGACCACTGTAAGTGTTTAAGAGTTGCTGTCTTAACTTGGGGGCTCCGATATTGGTTTGACTTGTAGAACCAAGTTTTCATGTCTGAAGCAATACTGTTAATTCAGAAAGTATTTGAAGTATAGAAGTGAAATGTTCCCTAGGGAACTAGTTTAATTACAATTTAAGGGAACGTGTGCTGGACCTATTTAAGCCAGATTTAGTGATTTATTTATCTGTGGGATTCAGTAAAAAGCACACTTTATATATACTGAAACTCTACTTCCGCATAACTATTACATAAAACAACCTGTAAGATGTTTATACTTCTTAATAGATGTAAATTTAATTTAGTTATTTTAAACCTCAAATGTGTTAGGGAGTATTTTAGAGCTCATTGGACGAAAAGTAAGTACATTTGGAACAGCTGACATGACAGCATTACTAGACCCTCACTGTGTTGTTATTGTTGTTTTAACTCAAAGGCACAGAGCATGGAGAATGATGAACTTCCGTCAGCGTATGGGATGGATTGGAGTGGGATTGTATCTGTTAGCAAGTGCAGCAGCATTTTACTATGTTTTTGAAATCAACGAGACTTACAATAGGCTGGCCTTGGAACACATTCAGCAGCACCCAGAGGAGCCCCTTGAAGGAACCACATGGACACACTCCTTGAAAGCTCGGTTACTCTCCCTGCCTTTCTGGTTTTGGACAGTTATTTTTCTGATACCTTACTTGCAGATGTTTTTGTTCCTTTATTCTTGTACAAGAGCTGACCCCAAAACGATGGGCTACTGTATTATTCCCATATGCTTGGCAGTTATATGCAATCGCCACCAGGCATTTGTCAAGGCTTCTAATCAGATCAGCAGACTACAACTGATTGACACATAAAATCGGTCACTATTTTTTCCTTACAAGTACAAAACTGCCAGTACTGTATGAAGCCTGATCACAAGACTGCAGTTTCTTCACAGATCTCAGGAAGCTGTGGTGGGGCAGAGGCTTTTTAAAGAATGTGACTAGGGGACTATCTTTATCTGAATATTGAATTTTTAGGTAAAGCCTGTGATACAGTACTACAAAATCATGTTGATGACTTCAGATTTTGGAAGTAAAATTTTATCTGTTATTTGAATTCTTTAGAAACTTGAATAAGTACCTGGATTCATATTTTTATTCTACTGTGCAACATAGTGATGATTCAGAAATTTTTCCTTTGGGGAAAAAATGAACATTTCCATTGTGTTTAATGTAAAAAGGTCCAAACATGGTCATAAAATTTAAATTTTATACAATTACTTGGCTTGCTTTAAAATTCTTCAGACTAAAACACCAATTCATCCTGTTGTAGCTAAGCCAGCTATTTATGCTTGCTTGCTACCAGCTTGTGAGAAATTGGTATAAAATTATTGAGGTGATGGCTGTCTTGAGAAGCAAAATGTGTTCTTCGTTTTGGTAATGCTACTGGCATTATTAATTAGCTAGAATTATTCATGCAACTTTTTTTTTTTTAAACTACTTGGGAAGAGACTAAGTGTTTGAAAGTTGAGAAATCTAACACATAGAAGATAAAAACAAGGTGTTCAGTGAAAATACTTAAGGCAGTCCCTGTCAGATGTGTGACATCTAAAAGATGCTCTCAAGTCATCGTCCTGATTTTCTTTTCTGCCTAGGGTCCAGTCTTCAGACGTTAGGTTAATTGCATGAAGATGTGATCCCTGTACTGCGTCCTTTGCATCTGTACTTACTACCTCATGTCTGGTAACAATACAAGTAACTAAAACATGGAAAATTAGAAATTAGGATTATTTTTCTTCTTTTCTGGGTGAGATCAAGATATATTTTTATACAGTTAATGTCATCAATACCAGGGAAATGTTTACACTGACCGATCTGAATAAGAATCGTAACATTTTTTGGTGCTTACTCCGTTGGGCCCTGTCCTAAGAGCTTTACATGAATTAACTCATTTAGTCCTCCCAACAATCCTGTGAGATAACAGCTATTATTATCCAGATTTTACAGATAAGGACCGTGAGGTGGAGAAGTTAAGTAACTTGCCAAAGGTTATACAGCCAAGAAGCAGAGGCAGAGTTCTAACCTGGCATCTGATGCCTTTATTCCTAATCACTGAACTGTAGTGCTTCTCACAAATGACAAATGTTTCAGCACTGGGTACTGTCTGCCTAACCATGCTAAAGATTGGAAAAGAACTGAGAAAGGTTTTTCTCAATTTGTGTGAGCTACTGAAAATCTAAAAGTTTTCAAGCAAGCTCAACCTTTACCTTATATCAGGTTTGACCAGAATGGAAGGCTGAGCATTCCATAGCAAGCTTTTACTTGAAAGATAAAGCAGGTACTCTTGTAACTCAAAAGCAGTGCGATCAGATTCTTCTGTTCTTCTCCAGTTAATCTCATTTCTCTCCTTTACTACTTCCAAAGGTCTAGTTACTGAAATGATATATTTTTTGCTACAATACATTGAATCTTCAAATTAAGCAGCAGTTTGAAATATATGTTTCTGCAAGCGTCAGATAACCAAATCACTTGTATCTTTTGAATACTTACTAAAAATATGCATGCTGTGGGCAGTTTCCTGAATGATACACATTCATGCTGCACAAGAGTCCTATGAGGCAGGTATGTATTGGTACTAGTACCATTTTACAGAAGAGGAAAATGAGGAAACCTGAAGCACATACCAATTAATAACTTGCTCATGGTCACACAGCAAGTGGAAGAGCTAGGATTTGAACCCAGGATATCTGGTTTCAGATCTCCAGCTCTATCATTCCACTATACTGCTTATCAAAGAAAAGATTAAAGGAAAGTCATTGAGCAGTTTCTTGTTTTGTCTTGAGGCAGTGATAGTTTGGAAATGATTTAAGGAAATTATTTCCATGATTTTTTGTTTTATAAATGCTTGATGTAATGGAGGGTTTGTGAGTTTGCTATTTGTCTTGTAAGGTAGTAATTCCTTTTTATTGAAGTAGACTTTCTTACACTTAAGATTCTAGTTATTTGGGATTTGGTGAGCAAATGCTCAGTCCATCTCTTTCTTTCAAGATATTGCCTTGATAGTAGAAATATTAAAATAATTAGAGTAGGAGTAATGTATTTCCAAATGCAATCACAAAGGTTTAGACTGCAGGGTTAATCTGTTTTTTGATTATTTAGGAATTAATTATCCAAGTTTTAGATTATTCCTATTTTCTCAGTGGCTATTTAATAGTTCAAAGCACTCTTTTGGTAAAGAGAGAAAGGGGAAATTAGTCCTTAGCCCTATTAGATTGAGGTGGAGGTTGAAACCAATGGATAGGAGACCTGTGTATTGTAACAGATCACTTATTTCATAGTCACATCACAATACAAAAAGCTGTGAATACAGGATTAGATAATGAGATAAATGGCAAATGTAGAAAGTGCTTCAGGGATTTTAGGGAAGGGACACATCCTAGTATCTATAGCTACTCAGTGATATTTGCTTCCAGATTGAGAAAAACAGTTACAGCTCCTAGTGGGTTTTTTTTTTTTTATATTTATTTATTTTATTTGGCTGCGTCGGGTCTTAGTTGCGACATGCGGGCTCTTTGTTGTGGCACTGGGCTTCTAATTGTGGTACATGGGCTCTAGAGCGAGCGGGCTTAGTTGCCCTGCGGCATATGGGATCTTAGTTCCCCAACCAGGGATCGAACATGTGCCCCCTGCAGTGGCGGGGCGCAGAGTCCTAACCACTGGACCGCCAGGGAATTCCCAAATTTTCTGGTTTTAAAGAGGTTACCAGTTTCAAAGTAAAAAATGTGATTCCCCAAGTTTAGAATTTGATTCTACTTCAAACAAAGCTTTTATAATTAACAAGCTTTTCTTTGCAGAAGTGGAATCATCAGATAAAGTGCTACGAGAGTAACAGCACCCATAAAATAATCAAACCTGTATGTTTGTTCACCATGGGTAGTGTTAAAGTCTGTGTTAAGATTATCTGGTGTTGATTTCCTTCTTGATGGATTTAATGTTCTCAATCTCCAAATCACTGGCAGAAAAGCTTACTGCAGTACTACATGACTCATTTTTGCATCAAGTATGTGCCATCACTTTATAAATTCTCCAGTATATTGATAAAGTTCCATATAACTCTGGACCATGGTTGGGAATCATTATGCATTGGTATTTTTGTTTTGGTCTAAGGCAGTGAGTGGGTCTTGAACTGTGGCTGAATGTTAGAATCACTCGAGGAAATAAAAAACAAAGCAAAACTCCGCATAAACAATGCCAGGGTCCCTCCCAACTATCAATCCCTAGGGGGAGGGGCCAAGGCAATCCTGTTTTAGGAGGTCTTCAAGCAAGTCTATTAGGGTTGAGAGTTACTGGGCCAGGGGTTTTCACGCAACATAAAGCTTCAACTGTTACTCGTGAGAACTGTGTTTGTCTTTGGAACAGTGTCAACAATTATTTCATGGTAGGCTTACCCCAGCTGTCTGAATTGTGCAAATCTTTAAAAAGGTGTCTATATATTCTTTCTTTTCTTTTTTTCCAAGGTTTAAATAGACTTCATTGTTAAGCAGACTTATAAACTAATGTATGTGGTCCCAGGATGTCAAGCATGGAGAAAGAGAGGTCATGAAGATCAGCTGCAGAAGGTCACTAACTGAAGGCCATGATCTAGGGGAGGCCAGCCAGGAATGCAGTAGACATGATCAGGACAGGCTAGGGGTGGTCATGTCACAGAGAAGGGAAAGGACAGCCCTCTTTACTCCTGCTTCTTGTAGCTCTCCAGTTATGACAAGACCCTGCCCCAGGCAGGAGGAAACAGGAAGCAGAAGGTGAGCCCAATGGCAACATCCATGGTCCTGAGCTGCTCCCATGGTGGCTTGGAATGCATCTGGGCATGCAGCACCGTGAGCTGCAGGCTGGCCTGTCAGGCCCCTCAGCAGCAGTGGCGGCAGAGTAGACATGACCATACCAGGTAGACTGCAGACAGCTGCCAGCCAGAGCCCAAGGTCGGGAATGAGATGTCTATATTTTGTGATTCTGATTCCTATCGTCCAATTTATCCTGAATACACTTCTGTCAGGCTTTTGCCTCCCACTCTACCAAAGCTGCTCTCTTGTCAAGAGGTTGCCAGTCATTTACATGTAACAACCCAATGGTCAAATCTCAGTCCTCAAATTACTGTTTTTTTTTTTTTTTTTTTGGCTGTGTCTTGCCTTGTGGGATCTTGGTTCCCTGACCAGGGATTGAACCTGGGCTCTTGGCAGTGAAAGCGTGGAGTCCTAACTACTGGAGTGCCAGGGAATTCCCCTTATTATTTTTTTTAATGGATTAAAAAAAAACACAATTTATTTATTTTGGTTGCGCCAGGTCTTAGTTGTGGCAGGCGGACTCTTAGTTGCAGCATGCATGTGGGATCTAGTTCCTCCACCAGGGATCGAACCTGGGCCCCCTTCATTGGGAGCACAGAGTCTTACCACTGGACCACCAGAGAAGTCCCTCAAATTACTTTTTGACACACTCCCTTGTCCTTGAGCTATTTTCTTTGGCTGGCTTCTGGATCAGTACTGCCCAATAGAATTTTAGTGATGTTGGAAATGTTCTGTATCTGTGCTGTCCCTATGAATAGCCAGGAGCCACATGAAATGAGCCCTTGAAATGTGGCCAGTGCGGCTGAGGAACTGAATTTTAAACTTTAATGAAAAAGTCACATGTGGCTAGTAGCTACCATGTATTAGTCCAATTCTAGATACTTTTCTGATTTGCTTCCTTCCTCACCAGCTTCTCCTATCCCCTTTGCTGTTTCCTCTTTGAGGATCTGCCCAATTTCCAAGTGTTGGCATGCCCCAGTTCTCTTTTCTACACTTAATCCCTTGTCATCACATCCAGGCTCATGGCTTTAAAACCCAAATTTCTATCACTTCCTTGATCTCTCTCCTGAGCTCCAGACTTGGATATCTAACTGCCTACTTGATATTTACTAAGATATCTTACCAGGCACCTGAAACTTAACCTGTCTATAAAGATAAGCTGCTGATCTCTCCACCCACCAAAATCTGCTCAAGTCCCCTAAAAGTCTACTATCAAACAAGAGGCGAGGGATCATTTTAAAAGTTATTCCTCTCAAAAATCCTTCTATAGCTCCCCTTCTCAGAATAAAAGCCAAAGTCCTTAACATGGCACACAAAGTTCTAAGTAAGTGGCCCTCGACTTTGACTTCATTTTCTACAACCCCCTCCACCCCTTGCTCCACTCCAGCCACACTGGTCTTCTTGCTGATTCTGGAACATGCCAGAAAAACATGTTTCAGGGCTTCTGGGCTCAGTGTACCTTCTGCCTGGATGCTCAGCCCTGACCGGCTCCATCACCTTCTTCAGACCTTTGCTCAACTGTCAGCTTAGTGAGGCTGCCTCTGACCACCCTACTGAAAATTAAGCATCCGCCCCCCCCGTTTTTCTCCAGAGCACTTACTGTCGTTTGACATGTTATACATTTTGTCAGAATCTAAACTTCATGAGGGCAGGGATTTTGTCTGTTTATGCCGTGTGCCCCATGCCCAGAACAGTGCCTGCCACATAGTAGGTGCTCAGTAATTATTTACTGCATGAGTGATTTTTATTGCCACTCAACAGCTCTCTCACGAGGCTGCAAAACAATCTAGAGAGAATAAAGTTACTAAGTGCATAGCATAATTTGTCATGTGTTCTAGGTAAGTTTGGTTACTTAGCTCTTTCCAGTTTCAGCATGTAGGGATATATTCTTTTCAAGGCCAAGATTTAAAATGAGTCTCTCAATTTATTTTTTCTAACAGTTCTTGTGATGTTGGCTGTCTTGGGATTTTCCTTATTCATGCGAGAAAAACATAGACCACAGTCACAAACAAGGTTTTAAGTGGTGGTTAGTCTTGAGAAATTCTTAAGTTACAATCACGAAAACAACGGTTTCCTAAACCACCAAACATACACAGCAAATATCATGAGGACATCTTAGAGCTACAGCACACACTTTCAGTACTCTGGTATCAAGGGGCAATACCTTGGCCCTATAAAGCACTCATTTAAACTGGTAATGTGCTTCCAGAAGTTACTTCTATACCCAGCAGAATTTCTGGCATAAGAGTAAATTTCTATTTAAAACTGTACCCCAATTGCCTTGTTGCTGCCCCAACGTGAACTGCTATTTTTTAAAAGATTTAAATAGAGGCTTACGGTCTAGCATTCACTGTTTCC